TTATTTCATTGAAGAATGTAAGGTCGACCAGCCTCTGACAGCTCACTTATCAGCAATTACCGTAAAAGGCTATGGAGCATTTCGAGGGCTACTTGAAGAGCGTGATGAGAAATGAAGCGCCGCATTGTTCAGACGTTTGGTACCAGTTTACCAATAAACGACTGTAAAAACACTTACTCTTTCATTTATTTGCGACCGTCATGTGGAAGAACATTTACCCAGTGAAGTATCGTTTCTGAGGGGAATCATTCAAAAACTTTGCTTGAATGGTTATTTTTATTATTAATTGCTTGTAAGCTACACCATTGGAGAATGTTCCAAATATGATTCAGTGATAAACTCATAGCCATTTCAGGCATCCAAGTATAAATATTATTAAACTTTTAAAGGGAAAAATTTCGCTAACGATTAATGAAACGAAAAGAGCATGAACACGAACCGTATGAAACGAAACAACTACCGTTATCCCATAGTACATGCCACGTGGGTCAACCTGCAATTAAAATTACTAAAGTTGTTCGTGCTGATTGATGAAAATCAATAAAATTCCCACGCTTAGGGCGGACGTCCGTGAAAGCAGAAAAAAAACTTACCGACCGCAAACTTTTCATGCCGCACGTACCAAATTTTAGTACCATGTGAGGCTTTCTCGTTTTCTGGAGTGCAAAATCATCTTTCGAGCATGCCGGGTCTTCTGCTTTCCCTTTTGCATATATCCGGCCTGTAAAAAAAATGACTTTTAATTGGGAAAATCGCGATGCCCCGGAAAATTCGATTTAACTTTCCCAGCTAATAAAATTTTTCAAACCAGTATAACCTAATGTTCTATTTGTTCTTCTATATTGGTTGGCCATCCCGCGATAAACTGCTAAACGTTCTTATTTCCCTTGACCTTTGATCTCAGGTCACGTTTAATCAGACGATAACTTCAGAACAAAGAGAGGTAATAATTTGGTACTTCCCATAGCAAAAAGACACCATAAGAGGTACCAAGTCTGTGTGTCTTGCCATCTTCATTACTCCTGGAACCCTAATAGCTCATCTCAGAAACTTATGGATTGGCTAGCTCCTCGGTCTTTTCTACTATTTATTCCCCATTTAGCAGCTTAAAGCACTGCTAATTAATCCATTAATTTTACCTCACCTTCCCTTCCCCCGCTCTCCCCTCTCCCTCCCCGCAGACTGCATCTCTTTTTCAAAATCAGCATCCGTTTGGCTCATTTTATTCTTTTTTTACCACAAGTTTTGAGATTTTTTTTCTCATTGGTTCATGGTTTAGTTGAACAAGCTGATTTTTTTAAACAAGATTTGACTGACACAGCTGAGCATGGATGTGCGTACATCCCCGTAATATTACATACGTGGGATACTTATACTGACTGCTCAGACTTTTCTTAGCACCTCGATATCTGACTAGGTGGATTTCGAATGTCTATGAAAAAAGTGTGCGCCTGATAAAGAAACGACCATAATTACAGCTCGATATTCAAGTTTTAAAAAGTTGAAAAAATATGAAAAATGCTGCGAAATGTTTTTCAAAATAAATTAACAAAAACCACAACCATTAAAAATTTTCCGAGTTTTAACGAAAACCCGGATCTGTTCATCGAGGCATTCGATGTCCGGATCGCCAATAATGTCATTATCGATGGTGATCGATGCTATGTAATCCAAAAGCGGCAACATCACCTTGAATTTAAGCAGTTTATGGCAACTAGCAAACTTCTTGTCGACAACTGAAACAA